CAGCCTCAGCATGAAAACACATTTCCAATCCAAGACCCATTCATATGTGCACACCACCTTACATGGCAGAGCACATTACCAGTGGTGTGATATGTAGCCAAGGTGATGAACACTGCTGGCAGTTGGAGCTATGTACTACACACCATTTTATTCAGGGCTGTGCTGTTCCTGTCCTCCAGCCATCTTTGAGCTCATGTCAGGCAGACTCTTTCAAGGTGCCATGAAGATAATCATCTTTGTGCACTCTTCTTGCACTCCTTTGAGCTTTTCCCCACAATGGGAAGAGTTTCACAGTGAACACTGCCTATTCACTGTGTTCCTTCTAGTGATCCTCACCTGAAATTGGACTTACAGCTGGCCATAAAGTCAGGTTCCGTTTTTCTGTCTGGCCCTTATGCCATACCTCCAAGCCCTGGAGGCACATTCTCCCTTCTTCCAGTGCCTGGGTGCTCTAGGTCTTGTGTCTATGTCTCTTGCCTCCCTTTTCCAGACCATTGATAAAGACATTAACAGAACTAGTCCCAGTACTGAGCCCTGAGAAACACCACCAATCGGATTTAACTCCAGTCACCACCACACTTTCGGCTTGGCCCAGCCATTTTTTTTACCCAGCAAAGCATAAGCCCATCCAAGCTATGAGCAGCCAGTTTCTCTAGGAGAATGCACTGGGAAATGATGTCAAAAGCTCTGCTTAAATTGAAGTAAAGACAGCATCCACAGCCTCATCCACTGAGCAGTTCACCTTGTCATAGAAGAAGATCAGGTTATTCAAGCAGGACCTGCCCTTCATAATCCCCTGGTGACTGGGCCTGATCAACTGGTGATACATGTCATATGATGGCACTCAAAAATCCCTAAGCTGATATCCCCATATCCAAAGAACTGAAGTTCAGCATCACTGACTCCCACAGGGAATAGTCAGGATGATGAGGCAACATGTTGTCTCTGCTGCAAGCTGAGACTGGGGATTTATTGCAAAGGAGGAGGGAAAAAAGATATAAATTGTGTCAGAAGGAAGCAATTAGTCCAGATCCACAATAAGCTTATACTTGCTCTCAGATGTCAGTTGGCACATGCATTATCTGCAACACTCAGCACTACATTTTCCTGGAAGACCTTTTATGAGTTCTATTTCAAGTACTTAAGTGTTCATAGTTGTTCATTTCCATAGTGATTCACTGAACACATGAAGTCTTGTTTTCTTCATACATAATATGCTACAAATCGGAATGAACTTGACCAGTTTTCTTCACACACAGAGACATATATTCACACATACACAGACAGTTGGATGTGTATGTACATGTGCATACACTGGTACATAAACACACATACACAGAGAGAGAGGGGCTGTCAGTCCATTATACCCACAACCATTTTCCTGGCATAGCTAAGACTTTTCCTGCTGCCAAAAACTTTTGTTGAAAGGGACATAAGGCTTTAAAAGGTATTACAATGTAAAGGAGAAAGTTTTGTGCAAAGAAATGTGACTTCATTCATCTTTGCATCCCTCCCAGGAGAAACCACATGAAGAAGCCTTTTTTGAAGGTAGGAGGCATGAGTGTATTTCCATATCATATGCTATGACTGCACACCTAGTTGCTAAGGGCTTTATCCAGCTGGGTCTTGCAAAATCTCTGGAGATGAAGATTGAACACCCTCCCTGGACAACCTGTTCCATTGCTTGACCGTTCCTCTGAGGAAAAACTTTCTCCTTACACCTGATTTGGCCCTTTCTTGTTTCAGTCTAAGTCTGTTATCTCTTGTCCTCCTGCCATGCATCATTGTGAAAAGCCTTGGTCTGTCACCTCAGTGATCTCCTTGTAGGTACTGCCAGGCTGCTGTTGGGTCTCCTCCTCCCTGTGCTGAAGGAGTTGCTCTGGCCTTAACGTGCACATGGCAAGTGCTCTAGACCTGAGCCTCTTTGTGGCCTGAGGCTGACATTGGTTTAGTTTATTAATGTCTTCTTGTACTGGGTGACTCAAACTGGGCACAGCATCTAGATGTGGTCTAATGAGTGCAAAGCAGAGGGGAATAATCACTTCCCTCAAAACAGCCCAGACTGCTGTTATCCACCTTTGTTGTCAGGCCAACAGCTGGCTTGCATTCATTTCAGAATCCACCAAGGTCCCTGGGTTCTATTCCAGATGATTGCTGCTTAGCCAGTTGGTCCTCTACCTGGACTTCTGCAAAGCATTTGGTGTTGTCCCGCATGACATCCTCATCTCTAAGCTGGAGAGACATGGATTTGATGGATGGGCTTGGTGGATAAGGATTTGGCTGGATAGTCACACTCAAAGAGCTTCGGTCAATGGCTCAATGTCTAGGTGGAGACCAGTGGCATTCCTCAGGGGTTGGTATTAGGACTACTGCTGGAGACACGTGACTAAGATGACCCCTTCCCTACAGTACTAGCAAAGTGTCATCTGACAAAGGGCAGGCTGCACAGTACAAAGATAATAGTGGGTCACTCTAGCTATGCACTCCAAGGGCAGATGCAGCTTGTGCCCACAAAGTTGTCTTTTGTGTCTCCTGAGAAAAAAACCCAAATTCCACCACAGGGGAAAGGAAGCAGTCCAGTGGAAGTGTTGCTGCGTTGCTGCACTGCTCTTGTACTTCAGAGCTGGGTGCATGTCCACAGCAGTGAGGAAAACTCAGGATGGATCTTAGCTTTTCAGCCCTGAAATGTGAAGGGCAGGCTGTTTTCATTGCTAACGTGAGCTATACTAACTCAGTTATGGTACTGAGTAGGATCTTACTGCACCTCATAAAAGCAAATGAAGGATACAGGCAGACAAGTAAACTTAAGGAAGCAATAAGGTAATACTGATCATTTGATGTGTTCAAAGCACTATTTCCTTGGAGACTACTTTCCACTCCGTTTCTGTAGCAGCTTTCATCAGGAGAATTTGATTGCCGTAAGGTTTCCCTGGCCCCTGTTGTGGAGGACAGAAAGATAGGAAATGCCTTTTTATTTGGAATGAGAAAAGGACACTGAGAGAGCAAGTGTGAACCTGATATCTATTTTACTCATACCAGTAAGAGTCCTTCTCAGGACTTCAAAGGTAAGGAATCCTTCCAGGGACTAGAAAACAGGCTGATGGTGACCAACCTGCGAATGAAGAGAGCTCACTGATATGTGCCTCAGCTTGTGACTCCAGAGGGATGAGAACATGAGTTCCAGAACACACATATTCCATTTCTTGTTGCCGACCAGAAGGTATGGTGCCCACTGGTTAGGCAGCCTACAAGCCAGTCCTAGGTTGTCTGCAGGGCAGCCATGTGCAGAAAAGCTAGAGTTCACTCTATATAATATGTTGAGCCTTGTGTCCAATCTCAGATAGGAAACCCTCAGCTTTTTTTTCTTAAATCCTGGCTTTTATGACCCTCCCAGATATGCTGTCTTCAGAATTACACCTGTCCATATCTCTACCATCCACCTATCTGCTCTGCACTCTCTGACAAAAAAGTAAAGCTGCCCTTAAAATAATTTCTTATTGCTTTTTGGGGGATGGTCTGAAATCTTGCTTTTACAAGGCTGATAGCAGAAATTCAAACTTGATTTCCATCACAGTGCTCTAGAAAAAATATGCCATGGCTGCCAGTACTACAGACCTGACAGACTTCAGAAAACTTCCATGGCAAAACAAGTAGGAGCAGTGCATGTGTTAGAATGGCAATCACTTCAGCATTAACATAAGCAGTACGTCATTAATGCTCTATGTCCACCATGATGGTTTGAAACAGGGTCCAATGCTGAAAGGACTGAAAATCTGTGCTTTGGACAAATGCCAACAGGAAAAAGGACTTTATTTTTTGTGAGATTACACTGCTGGTAGCAACAATAATCTGCAATTTCTGTTGTACTGCAAATCCCTTTCTCATTTCAGACTGGCCTAGAGACAGAGCAAACGCAGAGGTACTCAATCCACGTATTTCTAACCTGTATTTATGTGTATCTGCCCCTTCAAACACAAATGCCAGGAGACTGTGCATCCCTATGGTGATGCATACAAAATGAATAAAAGCACTGACACAGTCCTCTCTCATCAGGCACTTTTGTTTCCCACCTGAAGGTTTGCATCACTTTGTAGAACTAAGGACATTGACAGCAGTGAGTGGCATAGGCAGGCATAATTCCAGTCTTAGTTGTTATCTGCGCCACACTGGGATCTATCATGCTAGTTGGCGTGCCACATGGAAGGCTATGTGAAGACTTTTCCCTGCTCCTCCTCCCTGGCAGAGATGATAGGTCTTAACTAGACAGAATCTCAAATCTCCGTTACCTCACTGAAGCACACAAATATAAATGAGAGTTAGGAGGGGCAAACATTACAAAATTTTAATTTGTAGAGGCAGAATGGCTTAGATTGGATTTTTTGAGCTTGGAGCAGCCTGGTCTAGTGGAAGGTGTCCCTGCCCATAGCAGGGGGTTGGAACTGGATGAGCTTTAAGGTCTCTTCTAACACAAACCATTCTAGGATCTTATGATTCTATGAAGTTTTCTGTGCATCGCCAACCAGCTCTAAGCTGAATGTGATTGAGCTATTAGGACAGGATGCCTCCAAAATGAGGGCATTAACATCAGTGTTTTCCAAGATATTTTCCAGCCTCACATACTCCTTCTAAAAGCTAGAGAGGAATCAGTTTAAATCTGAAAGTTTAAATCCAGCTTGTGCTGCAAAGTCCTCTAAAACATGTGAAGAAAATTCAGAATAAGCATGCTAAAGAGCAAATTACTCCCTCACTTGTAACATACAGGTGATGGAGAATATATTACACAACTCGTTTTTGTTTTCTGCTGTTGCAAAACCCAATGGAGAGAAGGGGAGCACAGAAGGACAGAGATTCAGTGTAACACCATGAGATGAGAAAGGAGGCATCATTATATACCCTCTTGCTCAGATTTTATCATCAGGTTGTTCTTGGCTCACTATCACACAGGATTTCTTTCCCTCATCTTAGATACAAAACCATTCTCAAGATAGGTCTCCTCTTCCTTTCCAGAGTAAAGAAAATGATACCTTGTTTTATTGAAACCAACCCAGAGTAGTGTTTATTACTGAAAATATACAGTATTTTTGAACATCACATAAAAAGCCTAGTAGATACATCTGCTCTACTTGAAAATGCTCAATAGATAATCTTGGTGCAGCATGTAGCACTATCCTCATAATGCAAACATCCTCTCCTCATTATTTTTACAGTGCTTCCCTTTTATATTTTTAAAATCCAGAAAGCATGTTCTGTTGTCCTTCCCCACCCCAATCCTCTTACCTGAAAAAATACAAAGACTGTCCAAAGACTACTTACATTGTGTTGAAAGCATGTGGCTAAGAGGAATATTTTATAGAGCTATCTAGAGATATTGCTGTCCTTTTTGAAATTCTCTGTATGAACAGAGCATGGTTCTTGCAAGGCAAAGTGCCCTGTCTTGAACAATCCAGTGATGCTCTGGACAACTCCCTGTCTATCAAAGGGAGAAAAGAGGAAGGTAGATAAACTTGGGTTTTTCACACCACCTTGCAGATGCTCTTTTTCCTGCTGCCACGTGTTCTTAAATGACAGTTTCGCAGAGAAGTAATTTTTACAAAGAAACAAGAAAGGCATGGGCTATCTACACACAAAACTGTTGAAAACATTGGGAATCAATGTACAGGGTGAGATGGGCAGTATTTTAAAAACAGTTCTTGTTCACCACAATACGGAAGGGAGAAACAAACAAACAAACAAAAGGTTGAAAAAAGGTATTGTTCCAGCCAGTGTGCTGTTTTAGACTTTGTACTGCAAACTTCCACAAGGTGCAGTCAGTGTTGAATCTCTTTCTTCTTTGAAACTGCTTCGCCACCACCTACTTCAGGAGGCCTTTGCCTGGTTGCCTTAAAGCAGCATCATAAATACAGGAGATGAGAGTCCACAGAAATGTGACGGGCACCTCATTGCAAAAGAGATCAGTGAAGAATAAAGGAAGAAAGTTTGAAGAAAGGGGCCTGGGGAGAGTGAAGAAAGAAGAACCCTGAAGGCCACCAGGTGCACGTGTACGTGAGGGCATATCACACAGCTGCGGTCTGTTTGATGCTATGGAAGCTGATTCGTGTTGGAGAGGTGGGGATAGACATGGCACGTGCCACACGCACTCGGAGGGAGTGATGGTCTTGCCAGCGGTGCCATCTTTTCCTGGCAGCAGAACGGACCTGGTGAAAAAACAAAATAAAAGAACATGACCACTTAGAATACTCAGGTGTTCTCTGTAAAGGGCACTAGACAGCATTGAGACAAATGGTGGTATGTGCAAACACTGAAACATGCAGGGCTTGATTCAGCTGCCTAAAAAAGGGCATTCACTTGATATTCTCTTGGGTACTGCACTCTGGGAACAGCATGGGTTTCCCATATCTCACATGTCTCATATCTCACCTCTTAACTAGTCCATTTCAAATGGCAATAAATGTCTAAGCTTATGCAACTGAATCAAGCCCTCAAGATGGATGTAGCTGATGGAGATCTTAGAGTGACCTATCACAGGGGCTATCGTTGCCTCTGTGTCCCTTGTATATGAATAATCACAGATCATTTAACTAAACATTTGAGTCTACGACAGACAGACCTGACCTAATCCCTGTGATGGTTTTCTACAGGCAGTGGAGAGCTACTTCTGCAGTCAACAGGTTATCCTCAAGCACATGGCTACAAATAGGCCGGATAAATCTAGAAATACCTTTTTTTCTTTTCTTTTTTTTTTTTTTTGCATGGACCATAGAGAGAGCCCAGGAACCATGGCTCAAATATGTATGTATATAAGCAAAAGAAAGACAAGTGATAAGAATCCTAGCCTACACACAATGGGAGGGAAGGCTTGATATACTCCTAACACAGGCTGTAACCAATTCCTGCCAAATCGCTGGCAGAGAAGACTCAAAGTCAGAATCTGGAAGGAAACATTTAGAACAATCTCTGGATACTTTTTTTTTTTTGGCAAGAGCAATTGAGACCCCTAACCTAGGCAGCGAGGTAAGCTTACAAAACCAGTTGAGATGAATCTGAGTCCAGCTTCCCAGATAGTCAATGGGTAATTGTATTCATCACACTTGGAAAGGATGTTAACATTCTGCTGCCAACCTGGAATCCAATGCACTTTTGAAAAAAGAGTATTTTTACATGTAACCTGTATATCTAGCCAGGTCTGCTTTGCTAAAACCACATTGTTTAGAAGGTGGGGTTATAAATAATATAAAATAGACATTACACCTCAGCTAATGACCCACAGCTTCCTGACTTCCTGACCAACAGAGCACGAGTCAATATGATTGAAGAGCATGATTCATCTCTTCCTAAAGTAGATTGTCCCAGGTAGGCCAGATACTGTGGTCAGATGAAAAATAGCTATTTCCTTTCATTAGTTTTAAAGTGAGTCTAGACAACTAGCTCTGTTTTAGATGTCTGCATTACAAATTTAGCTAAATTTAAACAATATTGATATCTTATCCTGAATGTTTTTCAGTCTTTAATGTACTTATCTTCACAGCATCCCTCAAAAGTGAAGGAGTGCTCTTATTCCCATTTTACCACCAGCAGGCTAATGCTTGGGTATTAATAGCAGTGATATTGTTGTAGAGTAGACCTTGATGTGGTTCAGCTACCATAGCAACTATACAAGGCCTGGAATGAGTTTACACAGCCTGTGTGAAACACGCTGACACACGTTCTCAGCTATCAGCACTTGAGTGAGGTAGAGCAAAGCCATCCTGGGTGTTATCTTCAATCACCACCAGGACTGCAGGGAAGATGGTGTTAAATCAAATTGTCTGAAGCTCTACAGCCACTGCTTTTCCCCATTTCTTGTAAAACATGGTTCTTGTCTTCAGGTGCAGTGTGAGGATTACTCAAAACATATGGAACACCCAACCCCACTTCAGAACAGCTCCAACATGCTGTCTAATGGATGCTCAAATGAGTTGATGAGCTCTAGTAGCAGAGGTATTTCCCACCAAACCACACACACTATCAGTATTAGGTGTCCTAGATGAACAGGATTAATACCGTGATGGTTAAACCACACAACAGTTCATAAGGAGGTCATGGGAAGAGGGGATCTGCACTCCTCTCAGATGGTTTCAATCATCTCAGGTCTTGGTGGCCCTTCAGGGACTTAGATCCATAGTCTGCAGCATATCTACTTAAAACCTCTGAAGTGCTGTGATCTGGCACCAAACAGTGCCCTCTGATTACCAGCTTTTTCTATGAAATACACTCCATACACTTGAAAATTGCCCTCTTTGGTGCCTTCTCAGGGGAGTCCTAAATGTGGAAATGTGGCTTTTCTATCAATTAGAGCCCTTCTAGAAGGCACAGACTGGGCAAATGGGACCTGAGGGTCTCTTTCTTTGATTATTTTCTCAACTACGTGTGATCTGTGCTGCTTGATCTGACATTCAAGACAAGTAGGTGCAGATGTTTATAGTAAGGTTAGAAGAGTGCCACATACACTTTCTTTCTTCTGATTTTGAATCGATTATTTTTTTCAATATAAAATAGTGATTTTTACATTTCATAGGGGTAGGGCAGACCCTAGGAAAATAAAGATTATGAGGGAATAGGACTGCTTGCATGGAGAAGGGGAAGAGTGAATATCCAGTGAAAGAGGAATTAAAATTAAAATACAGCACTTCCAGAAGCATAAATGAATTTGAGATAAGGATAAGAATAATGTTAAACAACAGTGCAGGGGATTTCTGGAAGAGCCTCTCATTATAAAGTACTAGGTACAAGATGACTCCAGTAGTTTTAAGATGGGGTTTGGTCAGTTTATAAAATAAGTTAAATGAAATAGCCACTGTCAGGATGGGCTTCCACAGTCATATGACTACAGTAGAAGCCAGCCTGCAATGTTGACTTTTACTGTCTAATCCAACTGACCTCACTCGCTCATTGAACCCTCTTCTTGAAATATGAGAAACAGTGTAAAGATGTGTCATGGTGTTGCACTTTCCTGGTTGCCCCCTATTTTCAAACCCATTATGGCTCATTCTTGCTTGCCTGAGTACAAAAACAAATTAGCTAAATGTTGGGCACTTAAAATCCAAGTATGGTACAAATACCACGTGAAGTGTCAGAGGGTAAGCACTGCCATGGGAAATTGTTCCATGAAGAACATGCGACTTGATCTGGAGGGGGTTGTTGCCTCTTGAATGCTCATTTCTCTCCAGATGTCAATAAATACTGAGATATTGTTAGAAAAGTTTTTTCCCCTTTCTGCTGGAAATTCACCCTTGTACAGGGAACCTGTGATTTACTTAAGTCTTTCAAAGAAAGAGGTGAATTTCTTCACCTTTGGTGCAAAAGCAGAGAGTCTTCAATCTTTGGGTACAGCACAATCTTGCTAAAGACATTGATAGCAGATTGGCAGTCCTCTGCATTCCTGTACCCCAAGTACTCCTACAGCAGCATTCTACTGCGTCATGAAAAGGGGGAGTTACCTGGTGGGCTTTTTGTTATTCTGAGCAACTGGTGTGAACAGATACTTATTCAGCCAGTGAAGACAGATTAGATTTACCCATTTGTGCTTCGAACCAATCAAGTCAAAAACAGTCATCTGGAGATAAAGACGCCAGTCTAAATAAGCAGTTGTCTGAATGGCTTTCATGATATGGTTTGCTTACAAGCTTTGAGAAAGGATAAAAAGTAGTAAGAAAAATGCTTGTGCAGCTGAAGCCATTCCTAATGGACTGGGAACATGGAAACAGTCTCTACACTTAAAGGTGAGTGCAAGGCATTTCTTAATGACAGAATAATTCACTGCAATGAGGATGTGACCAGAGTGCAAGCAGAAAAGATTAAGCTCAAATTTATCTCTTACAGTTGAACTCAGAAACAAAATGTTAGCTTAACTTTGGGACAGAACACGCCCTCCCCCCCAAAAAAAAAAACAACCAAAAACCTGGCTGTGACTGCATGTTAAAAGAGACCCTGAAAAAGCTATTACACAGCTTCAAACCTCATTGTTAATACCCATGAGAGCAACTAGGTCTATCTAAGCATTTGTAGTCAGTACTATATCCTAGAGTCACCATCAGCACACCTATCACCTGAAATTAACAGCATTTGCCTGTAATAGCCCAAAGATGCTACAGGCTGTTGTCAGTGGTTAAAGCTTAACAAAGAGCCTCAGGAATACAGATGATAACCTTCATCTCTATGTAACTTTGGTTGTTGAGATGGCAAAGTGCTGCTGAGCAGAGCACTCAGTTCTCTGTGTTGACCCTTGGCCTGTCTTTTTCTTACAAAGTTAGTCTCTCAGAATAATTCTTTTTAGCTCTTTGCACTTTGCATACTGCGAATAATCAGTTTCTGAACATGTGGTCAAATCAGATTTACTACAGGCATAGGTTTGCTTTGATAAAATAGACATCAACTTTGTATTGCTATTACTTATGCTAGATGCTGGCTGCTGGCTAATTTCTTGCAGCCATCGATTAGAAATTAGCTGAAGAAAGAGCCTTTAGCAACATTAAAAAGCAGGTTTTGAAAGAAATGTCATGTCTTATTAGCAGAGAGGAAGAGAGCTTGATTCATTTACATGGTGCTTAGAACAAAGGGGCCCATTTACTTGGGGCTTTCTGACTTAATGCTGACATATAATACTAGTAATGTAGGTAGAAAGAAAGGGTCTGATAAAAAGAGTAGGATTAAATGAGCTGTCATGGAAATGGAAGCTGGAAGTAGACTACTGGGGCCCTGCCATACTCTGTCCCCAGAGAACATCCCTCACATGAAAATGTTAACGAGTGAGGGGCAAGAGGACAACAGGTACTCTCTTGACTACAGAATAACCAGTGTTCAGTAGACTGTGACTACTAACCCAAATTAAGTTCTTGCTTTGCTCATATGCAACATTTTACTCCCAGAAAACCTGATCCAAAGGTAAATGAAATAAATGAAAAAGGTTTATATAGATGTCAATGTCTTTTTAAACGGACTGATTTTTCTGCTATGAAAACAGGTTTCAGTGATAAATTCATCATGTTCCAACTACACTTAAGCATCTTTGTGCTATGTTTCAGATCCTTATCCTTGAGCTGCAGTTTGCAGGAAAGTGGAAAATAGCTTTAAACTTTAAGCATCTTTGCTTCTGAACAGCAGTGCAAACTGTGGAAAAGTTGATGAAGATTTATTCTGTCCTATTGTAAGCTACAGA